TGATTCCAAGGCACCCATCCAACGCAAGTTTGTTGTGTAGTCACTCAGTTGCTTGATGGATTTCTCCTGCTCATCCAGGTAATACGTCTCAATGAATTCCCACTAGTGAGGGTTGTTGCCAGTGGGCAGTTTGTGCAGTTCAGTAGGGTCAGATTTACACTTTGTTCCAAGTATAGTGCACACTCCATTGCGGTCAGCCTGCTCTCCCAGTCATCATAGTCTGGTTTCTTGATGTCTTGAAGGAAGATGTGGCTGCCCTGCTGGTTCCAAAGTTTCATCCGTTTCTCAGCCTGTTCCTTGTGGGATTGGTGGAGAAAATATTTGGCAAACTTCTTCAGAGCCACATCATCACAGTCGAAGTAGTAAAACATGGACAGGTAGCCATTGGGGGCATAGAGCTTCAGGTTGATCTGGTGATGGTGGTTGATGGCAGCCTCAAGTCCTGGTTGTAGTTCTGGTGCACCTGAGTCCTGGTTATAGTTTTGGCACACCTGTGAAGAGGACACAGTTATGGCAGTGACTGTGCAGTGCTAGAGTGGAAGCAAGGACCTTGGGGTGTCCAGGGGTGCTGATGTGAGGAAGAGGTGGAGAACTGGCTGGAAATGACCGGCGAGGGAGACACTGGTAATCGCCAGGTTTTATTCAAGCATGTTGAAGCAGGAGACCATGGTGACTCTGCGAAGACCGTTTCTAGACTTTATTTTGAAGCATTTAAAACATCCCTATTCCTTTTTCCTCAAGTCAAGTATTGTCAAAAGCTAGTTTGTAAAATAAATAATGAATGTCTATGTTCTTGTTGAGCCAGCTGTTTAGTTTCTTTGTACTCTTTGAGGGAACTTGGGCTTTGGAGACAATGCAAAGACAGGCATTTATTATACCATCTAACTTCCTTTTTATCCCTGTAATTATTTGAATCCCTGGCCAAAGTAAACAGTTGTATCCCTTGTGCACTGTCCTTGGAATGTCAAGAAAATACTTGAACTGACTCTTTTTTTTTTTTTTTTACATTTTTATAATTTATTTGGAAAATTCAAAGGCAGCTAAAGAAAACCATTTCAGGGATTCCAGAATGTCTTCTTAGGATTTATAAATAAAAATGACCACTACTTACTACTAAGATACCACCATTCTTACTGAGAGTAACATCCCAAGGAAAGGTTTTAAAGTTTACGTGCATAATAGTTTTTAAAAGTGTATCTGACCTTCCTAAATATTTGTTGAGTCACTGAAATGTACTCAAGGATGTTTCAAGCTATAATGTGCAAGTGACTTACTCAAGGGAAATTTTCAGTAGTTTCTTTAAAGAAAGCTTTTGAAATGCACACACTGTCAACACCTCATGCATATGTAAGAAAAATCTCACATCTTCAATGAAAGGACCTCTTCTTAGTGCCAGTCCAGTTAAATCTGTGATGATCTGCCTAGAAAATAGAGTAAATGTCCTATCTCTGTGGAACTATTAGTATCTTCAAATGCTAGCATGCAAGCTTGATAGCATCTGAAAGAGTATGGAGCTTCCTTCGTTCTTTTGTCTCTTATTGTTTCTCTTTAGTGCGCTCATGTTGGAGAGTGAACTATATTAGAGAAAACCAGATGGCTCAAAGTTGTACTTAGAACATAGTACTGTACACATTTTGATCTTGGAACAATACACACATCAGACTTGAAAAAAGGCTGTGAAAAGATAGAAACAAAACTGACATTGGACATTAAGGACAGTGATGTGGACTGTAAAAACCCTACCACCAAAATGGTAACTGAATTTATGTTAATCATGCAGTCTTTAGAAAAGCAGGCTATGGCGCTTCTCCTCAGTTATGAGTGAAGCCAGCTCACTGGGATCCAATGGGTATCTGTGTCTAATTTGTCAAAAGTTGTTTTGAGCTTGTTGAAGGCCATGGTGAGATCATCATTTACTATAATCTTGTCAAAAAGATGACCATATTGACTTCCCATTATCTGTGCAGACTGAATCATTTCTTGAAAATCTTCTTCTGTAAAGGGTTTGGCAGCTCCTTGGTCATCTCTGCTTGAAATAATCTTTGCATTTTTTCTGGTCTCCCTTAAACGTTCTATTGAAGGAGGCTTTATAAATATCACATAGGGCTTAAATTCTAGTGTCCTTAAATGCTTTACTGTATGAGGCTGAACATCCAACAGGCAAACTTTGTTTTTAGCTAGCACTGACCGAACTGAATCTATACTGGTGCCGTAGTAGTTGTTTTTATACTCTCCATATTCAATAAACTTGTTATTTTGAACATCAGTCTCAAACAAATGCTTGGAAATGAAGATGTATTCAACGCCATCACTCTCCTGGCTTCTTCTCGCTCTGGTAGTGTGTGGCACTGTCACGCCATAGTGCTGTGTGTCACTGATCAGCAGCTTTCTTTTCAGTTCATTTAACCCTACTCCTACAGGGCCAACCAAAACAACAAGTCTGTATTTCTCATTGCTTTGTCGCCTGTATGGGGTCACTTCTTCATATGTAGGTATATCAGCTGTGTCGTACTGATCACTCTTCTTGCATTCATACATGGATTTATTTGTTTTTTTATCTTTTCTACTAAGACGAAAGCTTCTTTGAAATCCAGATGATTTCCTGTTGGAAATTTTCAAAGGTTGAACTAATATTTCTGGTCTTCTCAGGGCCAATCTCCTTTCCTGGAAGTGCTTGGAGGGAATCAGGCCAGCTCTTGGATTGGCATCTCCTTCATGCTTTGCTTGCCACCATGCTGCATCATCCTGGCTCATAATCTGAAGTATATCTCCTTTTTTGAAAGCAAGTCCAGCTTCTTTACATGGAATTGCTTTGTCCTCACTAGGACTGTAGTCAAAGAGGGCTTTGATAAACACCTTGCCTTCTTTAGATGGAGTCTCCTCTTTGATGCTGGGTATAATCTTAAACGTAATTGCTCCCTGGGACTGAGCCAAAATCTGTATTACTTCTTCAGGCCTTTTATCCTCTACAGGAATCCCATTCACTTCCCTAAGTTCATCACCAACATGAATAAGACCACTTCTATCTGCAGCTCCTCCTCTCATGATTCTAGCCACAACAATGGCCCCAGTCTGCTCATCCTTCTTAATGGTTGCTCCCAGTGGTTCTCTATTTTTGACCAGTCGAATTATTTTCGCTGAGTCTTCTTCATCATCAATATCATCAGGCATAGGGGGTAATACTGGATCATAACTCTTCTGAGCCACAGTGTCATGTACAGAAAGCAAAGCCTTGACGTTGGGTTTTGACAGCAGTTTCAACAGCTCTCTGGCCTCGCTATTTAATGGCTTTTGCTGAAGCTCTTCCGCCAGATCATTTGCCAAGGCTGCTGCTGAATGGAGGACAGGGGCAGGGCTCTGCTTCTCATAGTAGTGTAGCTTTTCATGAATCTGCATCACTCCCGGATCCTGTTGACAGAGCTGGCATGATTCAGGCTGCAGGCGGTTCACCACACTCCCAACCTCTCCAGCCAGCACACGGCGGGGAAATTCAGTCCAACTGCGTGCAGCCACACTGTCCACAACTTAGATCTCGTACCAGCCTTTAGCAGATCTGTGCAAGTCAATGAACCAGTATTTTTCAGCTCAGGCTTGGGTAGAAAGAGTCACTCAAAGGACAGGACAGAGCAATAGATACTGTTCTGGGCAGTGGTGACCGGCAGAAGGTGCCGCGCACCGATCCTGGCAGCCTTGAGCCTGGAGGTAAGGAGGGCTTGAACTGACTATTGAGAGATAGCATTTAGAAAGCACCCACATGGCTTAAAATGAGTGTTGGCTTACTCCTTCTGTTCAGATCAGTAATCAGTCCATTACTGGACTTTTTTTTTCCTCTCTCTCTGTTTTTACTTAAGTGAAAGTATACAAGTAATAGTTTTCATGTAATCATTCATATACATTTTGTTATAAAAACATAAATTACAAGTAATTAATATAAACAATTACGATATTTTCACTTTCTTCAACTTCATTTTTACTCCCATCTTCCTCACTTCTCATCCTGTTAAGCCACCAGAATTGATTCTATGTGTAAACCTTTTCTCATCTTTTTATATTGTTGTATTCATTGCCATCAAGTTAGAACCAACTCATAGCTACTCTCCAGCAGATATTTAGAGGCTGTAAGTGGTACAGTGGGAGACGGCCCTCTTTCTCTTGCAGAGCAGCTGGTGGATTGAGACCGCCTGCATTTGAGTTGGCGGCGTGACTCCCTGGCCACGAGACTGCCAGAGTTCCCTAGCTTTTTGTACTGATGGACCTACAATTTTATGTCTTTTTTTGACGGACTTAAGCCACTCAGCATAGCTTGTTCTACTTTTGCCCATTTTGTGTGTAATATTTCACAAAATCTTGATTATTTTTAGTTATGTGCAATACTCCATTGTATAAATATACTACAATTTCTTCAGTCATTCATCTATTGATGGACACTTGGGTTGTTTCTAGCTTTTTATTATTGTAAATAGTGGTACAAAAACCATGAGTGGGAATCCTGTCAGCTTGGGTTGGAGCTCCTGTTCCTTTGTGATAAATAAATACCTGGTGATTGCTGGATAAAACTTCATTTCCATTCCCAACCATCTGAGGAAGTGCCAAATTGCTTTTCTTAGTGGTTGCACCATTTCCCTGGTGGCCTAGTCCATAGGAAATTGTGCTTCTATCCAAAGACTCCATGCCTCTTACGATTCGAAGCCACCGGGAGCTCAGTGGGACAAAGATAGGCATTCTCCTCCTAAACAGTCTGCAGTCTTTGAAGCCTGTGGGACAGTCAGCTGTCAGTTCTGGTGGCAGTGAATTTGCTGTTTTTGAGCAGTGTTTAAAATGAAATGGATTTTTTAAAAACACTCCCACATCTGAAATTGGTATTAAAATGTATGTTACAGAGGAGGTGTAATGGAGAACGCATACAAGGAAAGCTTTTGAGGATAACAGATTGTGCCTTTCGTCATTTTCTTTGTCTAAGCAATACATACTAAGTTTATTTGTATTTTTTTATTCCCAAGGTTCAGATGGTTTCCCTGATCCTGATTTAGTACTGAAGTTTGGTCCTGTGGACAGCACATTAGGTTTTCTTCCCTGGCACATCAGATTGACTGAGATTGTGTAAGTAAATACAAGTATATGTATGTAGATTCAATTCAGCATGCTCCGTGAGTCGTGTTTTTGAGCCCAGGCATTTGCAATGAATTACGATACAGAATTCTTTTCCTTGTATTTTATACTGTTGTTGTTGTTGTTGTTGTTGTTGTTGTTGATTGCCTTTGAGTCAAGCACAGCTCGTAGCGGCCCTATGAACAAAAGGCCTGAAGCCCCTCTACAGCTATCGACATGTATCATAGTTCATAGAGTTTCTGGAGGCAAGTTATTTAGGACATGGATTCTATTCCTGCTTCCAAATCTGTCATAGAATGTTACTGGTTGAGTTGCCATTGACTGCCAAGAAAACAAATAGGGTATGTCTTGGAGAGGGTGAAACCAAGTTTCTCCTTGGAGGCTAGGATTTTGAAGCTCTGCTTTACTTACTTTGGCCAGGTGAGATTGGTCCTTGGAGAAGGACATCATGCTCAGAAGGGTGGAAGGACAGCACAGGAGATGGAGACCCCTGGGGCGATGGGGGTTGGTGTGCCAGAATTAGTGAGACTGCCTCAGGACAGGGAAGGGCTCACAGCTGCTGTACATAGGGTCACTATGCATCTAGGCATCTCAACCATTTTATACTATCAATGGTAAAATAAAGACATACATTATGTAAGTGAGTTATGCCCAAGAGTATATGGTTGTGCAAATAATTTGGTTTTGCTTCCAGTTGCCATAGATCAGAAGTGAGAGATAACCATATTTGCCAAAGTCCTGTAGAAGAGCTATGATCTGAGACTGTAATCAGTGAAGAGAGGAAGTATCAGAATGGCCTAGAAGACAAGAAACATTGGGTTAGTGAGGAAAAATAAGCCTGATCTTTTAATAAATTTTTGATAGAATCGACCACACAAGAACCAAGAGTTAGTCTGGGGTAATAGTATGAGGTGAAACCATGTAGTATGGGGAGTATTATACTTTGGAGGACTTTGAATGCTTGCATAAGGAATGTGTTCAGCTGTTTGGAGAGAAAAATCATATAGCCGGAGGACTGGGTGAAAACATTGATTTTTTTGGTAGCTCATCACTAGGTGAATTGGATTTGGAAATGGTTAAGTTTAAAAGACAATTGACGAGGCGCTAGCTATAATGTGGAGAATTGTTAAGGAATACAAAGGTAATAATGATACTGATTATTTAGGACAAGCCTGGAAAACTTTGGTCAAAAAATGTCTTGATGTGGTTGGAATAAAAAGAGCCAGCACACAGCAGCTCTTAGAGTTTACTCTCTTCTTTCAGTAACCCCTTTTTGGGTTCTTAGTCTTCTATTTCCTTCCCTCCAATTACAGTATAACACCTAATTGTTTTTTTTTCTTCTGTGCTTGTTTTTCAGCTCTTTGCCTTCCTACATAAACATCAGTTACGAGGACTTTTTCTCTGCTCTTCGTCAGTATGCAGCCTGCGAACAGCGTCTGGGAAAGTAGTGATCCCTGGTTGCATAATTTGATTTCAGGCTTTTGGAGAAAAGGACCCAAATGACTGATGTTTACAAAGCACCTATGAAACCCTGTACACACCCAGTTCATAATCCTCATAATTTATCAACAAACAAAAAGTGTCTTACTTGAGAGTGTGTGTGCGTGTGAGTGTGTGTGCGTATGTACACGCATGTGTACATATGAAAATAAACTTATGAGGGAAGTGTTGGAGAAGGAAGTACATAGACCTGCAACTTTGGACAAATAGCAGTAATGTTTCGGATTTGAAATTTCACACTTGAAGGCTTTAGCCCCAGTTACTTCCCTGTTTTTGTGGGGAGAGGTTGGGGTAATTAGTGCTCTTGGTGGTTTTAAGGGGAAGGGAATTTTTGTTGTCTTTCCTAGTGACCAAACTTTTAATTTTTAAGAGTAATATCTTGACTTTATTAATTGGGAGCATAAAGAGTATGAGAAATCTCCAGAGGAGATGAGTTCTGTGTTTGTCATATGTTAAAACCTTGCAGATCTTTGGAGCAGGGGCAATACCTGTCTTCAGATATCCGTCCGTTTTCATTTCTTCATTATGGTCAATGTGACTTGAGAGTGCTGCTCTGATGTCTATAGGAGGGTTGTGAAGAGTGGTCTTATTAAAACACTGCAATGCTAAATGTTAAGACTAGTAAAAACTGGAATATTGAATTTGGCTGCCAAAAATAAAAAAGGATAAAGAGCTATAGTTTTAAAAGTAAAGGTGAAAAATTTTGCTCAAATGGAAATGACAATTTTTACTTCCTTCTGCATTGGTGGGCAGTGTGCTAGCTACAGCCCAGACATGATTTAAAAATTACTTTGGTTGAGACTGTTTTTATTTTAAAGTAGCATTTGATGGAAGTTATCAAGGCAGCTTTTTTCCTCAAAAAGAGTTCTCTTCTTCTTCGGAACAGCACATTTGGGGCTATAGTAGTACTTAGGATTTTTATTAAGTAAATCCTGATGATTACTTAGCATAAAAATTCCTTAAGTAAGATTGAGGCTTGTGCACAGAGTGAAATATTACCGAAGTCTACAAAATAATTTAATTTTACATGTTCTCTTTGTGGTAGAGGACAACTCTGTTTTTATTATTTTTTTAAATCAAATGATTTCTTGGTAGGTGTTTCTTCCCCTATTGCTGATCCTCGAGCAGTAACTCATCTTTATATTTGGTGCACTCTTTTAAGAAAACCTTCTTATCAGCAAGGGTACAGTAGTTGTAAACTTGTATACTTCAAATGGAATCATTTAAATTCTAGGTCTCAGAAGTCTGCACAACATCAAAGAAAATGGATTTAGAAAGCGTGATTGGAATCTTGTCAAATTCTACAATTAAAAGAAATAAATGTATTTTGATTTTTTGATTACAAAATACACTTGAAATAAAAACTATTAAAATAAATTTTGGTCCAGTGACATTACTTTGTGTTCATTCCTTTTATAGGTAGTCTTTTGTATATTGTTAATAATTTTTTTAAGTCATTATTTATTGCTACTGTTTTATGTAAAACTTGAGAACATCTCTAAACCTCACCAGCAAATTTTCTCTTTGTTTCTCCAAACTGTGGTCCATGTTATATTGAGGCAGGTTTTGCCTTACTTTCAGACTGAATTTATGCCTCATAAGTATAATAGGTATAATTATCTTATGAATATTTTCGAGTATGAATGTCTTCAGTGAGTTAAATTTATTGAAATGAAGAAACTTAATACATAGTAGGATATAATCTGTGTTGCTAAGGATTTAATATTTGAGTCTTTGTTCTTTAGTTTTCTCCAACTTTGTAATAATGTTGTGTTACACATCAAAATAAATCTATACATTCTGCCCTGAGCATGTTATATTCCTAGGAAAGACTTAAAACCATTTGCTACTGGTTCTGAGTATTGTTTGTGATCCACCGCTCACAGGCTTAATTGCTAGGACAGTCTCCTGAGCTTTAATGGTGTTGCTTGTTAATGATTGATTCCCTACCCATAGTTCCTACAGGAATCATCATCAGAAAGTATGCATCACCAGGGTGCACTCAAGGAAATGGATCATTATAAAGAGAAGTGTTAGTCTTCATGTATATTGAAAAATACAATCTTTAAATTGTTTATTCTCGACACTCCTCACAATAGAAAGGTTACCAAATTAAAATACAGGCAGTGATCAGGTTACAAATGTGTGATTTATGTACATGATGAATTTCAAGCTTATAAAAAAGTCAAGATCCAGAAAATGGTTTGTAGTAACTTTATGACATACAGAAAAACAGTATGTCAGAGTGGTTTTAGTGGATCTGGGAGTGTTTCTTTAATATTTTTGTGAATCTAAAAGTGCACTGTATACTCGAACATCTGACAGCTGTCAGATATAAACTACATTTAACTTACAAATACAACTTAAAGATAGATTTAGGAACAAAACTTGTTTGTAATCTAGGAATGGTCCAGAAACTTATTTTAATAGATGACAGCTATTTGGAACATAAGTGTTTTGGAGAGTTTAAGTCCATTCCCAAGTCTGATCATGTCCCGTGTTTCTCAAAACTAATTACTGTTTCAAAGTTTGCAAGCTGGTTTTTGATGTGAATAACATTTCAACATACTGGAACAAAGGTTTATGAATACCTTTCTCTGAAAGGAAGGCTTTACGATATCATTGAACAGTGCCAAATACACTGTGCTTATTTACAATTTCATCTTTGAATGTAATTTGATTAGCTCCTTGTGTGTGATGGTACCGTGCGTAGTCAGTACAATCCTTGTGACATTTTGTATGACTGTAGATTTTGGCAACTTGTAAATAATGTGTAAAGCAAGTTTTTATGATTAAAGAATCAGATTTATTGACTTTTATTATTAAAAGTTGGAACTTAACATGTATGAATAAAAAAATAAAATAATATAATCTTTTCCTGGACAATAGTATGTGAATGCTACATTTATTTTGGACATTTAGACAATGTGACAAACTCATAACTAGCAATACTTTTTTAAAAAAATAGTATTGATTGAAATAGAATCTCAAGTAGGTTAAATATATTTGAAATTTAGTTTTTTTTTTTGTCAGATAATAAAATTAAGCTTTGCCAATTTTGGAATTATCAGTTCTATAATAATTGATATTTGAGTTGACTTACTATGAAATTGCTGAATAAATGTATTATATATCCTTTTTAAAAGGAATTTTAGTTTTTGTCAAATTGGGAAGCATTGGTGAATAAAACATGATTTGTCTTAGACTCCATAGAGTATTCACTTTTGTACTAAGGATCTAATAATAAAGCACTTTGTCTGATTGTCATCTAAAATTAAGCTTATCAAAATCATCAGTTCTTAGTGGCAAGAAACATCTTTTTTTAAAAAACCACCACTAAAACTCATGGGAAACAGTATATTTTGTTTTAATGCCTTTTTCATATTAGACTTTATTGTAGAAAACAGTTGAAGCAGCAAAATGGCTTCTAATAAGTTAGCTACTGATAACATTTTTATATCAGTCCTTTCAGAATATTCTGTACTTTTATTTAAAGATATGGCTTCTGTAAAAGGTTTTAAAATCTAGAATTAAGTGTCTGCATTCTGTTTGTATTTGTGTCTGGTTATGAACACATAAATTTAAGTATTTGAAAAAACCCCATGTTCAATTATTCTTAATATATTTAAACTTGGTTCCGATCCTTGAAGTCATTTGATGTTCATCTCTTCCATCTTTTTTTTTCTCATTGTATACTGTCAGATCAGATCCAGCTGGCACAGGAGGAGATTGCCCCTCCTTCTCCAGGAGAGCATCTGATGGATTTGAGCATCTGTCTATCTTGTACAGGTTCAAGGACTATAATTTTAGAATAGTCATATCGAGATGATGGAGAAATAAAAAATTAGGTATTGCCACAATCTAAACTGCTTTGGATTATAGTGTTGACCACAGTATCTCTCGTCAGTATATATAGATAATTTAAGTTGTCCCTATGAGGATTGTTGTGTGTCATCTAGTGGGAACCAACAAATAGCTTACTCTTCAGTGGATATTCAGACGTATTTAATTGCAGGACAGGAGATTTTCCATCTTTCTCCCATGAAGCAACTGGTGGGATTTGAATGGTTTGGTGGTTTGTTTTTTTTTTTTAAATAACTTTTATACTGATTTACTTAGAAAATTCATCCACATGGTTTTTCACACCGGATCTTAGCCAACTGCCTGGAAGAGTTCTATATTTGTTCCCATCCCAAGGAAGGGCGACCCAACTGAATGTGGAAACTACAGAACAATATTGATTTCACATGCAAGCAAGATTCTACTGAAGATTATCCAAAAGCAACTGGAACAGTACATCAGCAGAGAACTGCCAGAAGTCCAGGCTGGGTTTAGAAGGGGTCGTGGGGATATTGTAGCTGATGTTAGATGGATCTTAGCTGAAAGCAGGGAATACCAGAAGAATGTCTATCTGTGTTTCATTGATTATGCAAAGGCATTTGACTGTGTGGATCATAACAAACTGTGGCTGACTCTGAGAAGAATGGGAATCCCAGAACATTTAATTGTGCTAATGCGAAACCTATACTTGGACCAAGAGGCAGTAGTCAGAACAGAGCAGGGTAACACTGCATGGTTCAAAATTGGGAAGGGTATATGTATACGCCAGGGATGTGTCCTGTCTCCATACCTTTTCAACCTGTATGCAGAGCAGATTATCTGGGAGGCTGGGCTCTATGAGGAGAATTGTGGCATCAGGATTGGTGGAAGATCTATTAACAATCTGCGTTATGCAGATAACACAACCCTGCTTGCTGAAACTGAGGAGGACCTCATGCACTTGCTGCGAAGGGTCAAGGACTGCAGCCTTCAATATGGACTGAGGCTCAATGTCAAGAAGACAAAAATTCTCACCACTGGACCAATCGGTAGCATCATGATGGATGGTGAAGAGATTGAGATTGTTCACAGCTTCAGTTTGCTCGGCTCCATGGTCAACACTCTTGGCACCAGTAGCCAGGAAATAAAAAAAACGTATTGCGTTGGGGAAAGTCTGCGGTTAGGGACCTCTCTAAAATACTCAAGAGCAACGGTGTCTCTCTGGAGACTAAGGTGCACCTGATACAGGCCATGGTTTTTGCAATCACTTGTTATGCATCAGAGAGTTGGGCAATGACTAGGGAGGATAGAAGGAGAATTGACGCCTTTGAGCTGTGGTGCTGGAGAAGAGTATTGAATGTACCATGGACTGTCAAGAAAACAAAGATTCATTGTAGAGAGGATTAAACCAGGCTGCTCCTTGGAGGCAAGGATTCTGGAGCTTCGCCTGACATACTTTGGACATGTTGTAAGGAGAAGACAGGTCTTTAGAGAGGGACATCATGCTGGGCAGAGTAGAGGGACAGCGCAGGAGGGGAAGACCCTCTATGAGGTGGATTGATTCAGTGACTGGGGTAATCGGGATGGGTGTGTCAGAGGCAATGAGATTGGCACAGGATAGAGCAAGGTTTAGGGCTGTTTTACATAGGGTAGCTATGAGTCGCAAACGACTCAATGGCACATAACAACAACAACAAACCACCCTTTTGCCGTTGCAGTGCAGTTTCTTACCACTAG